CTGTGACCAGGCCTCCTTAGGTCAGTGTCCCAGGATGCGACCCACACCAGTCGACTAACACCCAGGTACCCATTTTACTGATGGGGAACATAGACAACAGGTGGAAAGAAACACGTCCAATGTTTCTACTCTGGCTGGGAATCGAACCCAGGCCCTCACCGTGTGAAGCGAGAGCGTTAACCACCAGGCCACCAGAGCTGTGTGTAGTAATATTCCTGACTAGGAGAAAAAGTGACTTAAACAGTATCATTACCGGCTTGACATCTTTTGTTTCTGTAGAAGGTGAAGGTTCTAGTTATCCAGTGTATCATTTTCCTTGCAGTGTGCCTTGAATGTAAGATCTGACATTATTTCTAAGTCATCTTCTTCTCTACTGATGCTTTGTTTTATACTCCCCTTCAGTTTTTATTTCCTCAATCTTTCCATTGCTTCCTGTGGCCCTCTAGAAGGTCTGGTATATATTAGCTTGATATGTATAAAGAATGGAACAGTGCTGTGATTTATTTTCCAATGTCGGATATAAGAATGATAAATATAACTGTGGCGACTACTAATCTTAGAGGAGCAGATTTTTACACCGTGACAGCCCTCGATATTATTTAGTTGACTTATTACTTTGGTTGCCATTTACTAGAAAATTAAGGGTACCTACAGTCACTACTCGATCAGCCGGGCTGGGTTATGTGTGGACAGCAGTAACAGCCTGGTTGGTCAGGCCCTGATCTAGCGGGAGGCCTGGTTAAGGACTGGGCCGCGGGGGCGTTGATCCTTGGAACGACCTCCAGGTAGGGAGACCAGTGTCCGTCTTTCCTGTCATTTCTCTTACATGCATTTCGTTTGCCATTACAAAACTTTAATATATTATATATATATATATATATATATATATATATATATATATATATATATATATAATATTATTTTTATTATTATCACACCGGCCGATTCCCACCAAGGCAGGGTGGCCCGAAAAAGAAAAAAATTTCACCATCATTCACTCCATCACTGTCTTGCCAGAAGGGTGCTTTACACTATAGTTTTTAAACTGCAACATTAACACCCCTCCTTCAGGGTGCAGGCACTGTACTTCCCATCTCCAGGACTCAAGTCCGGCCCGCCGGTTTCCCTGAATCCCTTCATATTAATTTACCTTGCTCACACTCCAAACAGCACGTCAAGTATTAAAAACCATTTGTCTCCATTCACTCTATCAAACACGCTCACGCATGCCTGCTGGAAGTCCAAGCCCCTCGCACACAAAACCTCCTTTACCCCCTCCCTCCAACCCTTCCTAGGCCGACCCCTACCCCGCCTTCCTTCCACTACAGACTGATACACTCTTGAAGTCATTCTTTTTCGCTCCATTCTCTCTACATGTCCGAACCACCTCAACAACCCTTCCTCAGCCCTCTGGACAACAGTTTTGGTAATCCCGCACCTCCTCCTAACTTCCAAACTACGAATTCTCTGCATTATATTCACACCACACATTGCCCTCAGACATGACATCTCCACTGCCTCCAGCCTTCTCCTCGCTGCAACATTCATCACCCACGCTTCACACCCATATAAGAGCGTTGGTAAAACTATACTCTCATACATTCCCCTCTTTGCCTCCAAGGACAAAGTTCTTTGTCTCCACAGACTCCTAAGTGCACCACTCACTCTTTTTCCCTCATCAATTCTATGATTCACCTCATCTTTCATAGACCCATCCGCTGACACGTCCACTCCCAAATATCTGAATACATTCACCTCCTCCATACTCTCTCCTCCAATCTGATATTCAATCTTTCATCACCTAATCTTTTTGTTATCCTCATAACCTTACTCTTTCCTGTATTCACCTTTAATTTTCTTCTTTGCACACCCTACCAAATTCATCCACCAATCTCTGCAACTTCTCTTCAGAATCTCCCAAGAGCACAGTGTCATCAGCAAAGAGCAGCTGTGACAACTCCCACTTTGTGTGTGATTCTTTATCTTTTAACTCCACGCCTCTTGCCAAGACCCTCGCATTTACTTCTCTTACAACCCCATCTATAAATATATTAAACAACCACGGTGACATCACACATCCTTGTCTAAGGCCTACTTTTACTGGGAAAAAATTTCCCTCTTTCCTACATACTCTAACTTGAGCCTCACTATCCTCGTAAAAACTCTTCACTGCTTTCAGTAACCTACCTCCTACACCATACACTTGCAACATCTGCCACATTGCCCCCCTATCCACCCTGTCATATGCCTTTTCCAAATCCATAAATGCCACAAAGACCTCTTTAGCCTTATCTAAATACTGTTCACTTATATGTTTCACTGTAAACACCTGGTCCACACACCCCCTACCTTTCCTAAAGCCTCCTTGTTCATCTGCTATCCTATTCTCCGTCTTACTCTTAATTCTTTCAATTATAACTCTACCATACACTTTACCAGGTACACTCAACAGACTTATCCCCCTATAATTTTTGCACTCTCTTTTATCCCCTTTGCCTTTATACAAAGGAACTATGCATGCTCTCTGCCAATCCCTAGGTACCTTACCCTCTTCCATACATTTATTAAATAATTGCACCAACCACTCCAAAACTATATCCCCACCTGCTTTTAACATTTCTATCTTTATCCCATCAATCCCGGCTGCCTTACCCCCTTTCATTTTGCCTACTGCCTCACGAACTTCCCCCACACTCACAACTGGCTCTTCCTCACTCCTACAAGATGTTATTCCTCCTTGCCCTATACACGAAATCACAGCTTCCCTATCTTCATCAACATTTAACAATTCCTCAAAATATTCCTTCCATCTTCCCAATACCTCTAACTCTCCATTTAATAACTCTCCTCTCCTATTTTTAACTGACAAATCCATTTGTTCTCTAGGCTTTCTTAACTTGTTAATCTCACTCCAAAACTTTTTCTTATTTTCAACAAAATTTGTTGATAACATCTCACCCACTCTCCCATTTGCTCTCTTTTTACATTGCTTCACCACTCTCTTAACTTCTCTCTTTTTCTCCATATACTCTTCCCTCCTTGCATCACTTCTACTTTGTAAAAACTTCTCATATGCTAACTTTTTCTCCCTTACTACTCTCTTTACATCATCATTCCACCAATCGCTCCTCTTCCCTCCTGCACCCACTTTCCTGTAACCACAATATATATATATATATATATATATATATATATATATATATATATATATATATATATGTCGTGCCGAATAGGCAGAACTTGCGATCTTGGCTTAAATAGCAACGTTCATCTTGCCATATAGGACAAGTGAAAATTTGTGTATGCAATAATTTCGCCAAAATCATTCTGAACCTAACGAAAAAAATATATTTCACTGTGTTTGTTTAGTATTAAATTATTGTAAACAAATCTAAAATATATTTAGTTGGGTTAGGCCAAAATAAATTGTTCTTGCTATAATAAGGTTAGGTAAGTTTTCTAAGTTCCCTTTGGTGCAAAATTATAAATTTGTACATCAACATTAATGAAAAATATATATCTTTAAACGTATAAGAGAAAATTTTAGAAAGGACTTAATTTTAAATGAGTTCTTGCTAATTGACCAGTTTTACATATTCGGCACGACATATATATATATATATATATATATATATATATTTTATATATATATATATATATATATATATATATATATTGTGGTGTGTGTGTGTGTGTGTGTGTGTGTGTTTAGAATTCGCAGAAAAGGCGAAATATTAACAAACACTAATCTCAGGTCGAAGGAGACTAGAACCTATATATATGTCGTGCCGAATGGGTAAAGCTGGTCAATTAGCAAGAACTCGTTTAAAATTAAGTCCTTTCTAAAATTTTCTCTTGTACGTTTAAATATTTTTTTGCATTTATGTTAATGTAAAAAAAATAATTTTGTACCACAAGAACCTTACAAAACTTACCTAACCTTATTATAACAAGCGCAATTTAATTTAGCCTAATCCAACTAAATATATTTTAGATAAGTTTACATTAATTTAATAATAAACAAACACAATGAAATATATTATTTTCGTTAGGTTCAGAATGATTTTTGCTAAATTATTGCATACACAAATTTTCGCTTGCTTTATTCGGCAAGAAGAGTGTTGCTATTTAAACCAAAATCGCAAGTTTTACCCATTCGGCTGCGATTAGCCGAAGATTCGAACCTGTGTTGTTTTAGCCCGCCTGATGGTTAGCGAAAATTCCACGACGCTCTAACCCAAGGGACCATACAATCCTACAAGAATCACGCACCCAGCAGAGCTAGGTGTTGTATCGTGATCCGAGGACATACGATGATGCTTCAGAGCTAATTTCATCCTCCTCCAAGTTTGGTGTACTAGCCTCCACCAGCAGTATATATGGTATTGTAACCATGAACAAGTGATATTTAATCAATAACAACACTGCGACTAGCTTCTATGTCTTCAGTAATCTCTCTTCTTAAAACTTTCCCAAATATTGTTATAATGTGCGACATACTAGCCTATAGGAAATTTGCAATAGCTACACTGTCACGTGTGTGGATTGTGGAGGATATCTGTGGTTTTAGAACGTCTTAGATGACGCCACACAATATACAAAGCGTGTGATAGTGCTTTTCCAGTATTTTTTTTGATGAATCTGACCTTCATGATTATGGACCTGGGACGGTGTTAATGTTTATGGGATCGGTGGCTTAATGCAAGTCAAGTGATTCCATGGTTACCCGAGACATGATACATTAGTAACAGCAACACTATTAGTACCATAAGCTGCATTAGTAACACCAAGAACAACATGACATATACTGCATCAGTAACACCAGCAGCAGCACAACAACTACAGATTCATTACATATTTATTCATTAGAAAAGCGCTAAGGAATAATGGGGTCATACAGCATGGAAATGAAAGTCAATCAGTTTTGACTCAAAGAAGGGGATGATAACACTAGTTCTGTATCATGAGTCTTCAACGGTGAGAAGCACAGCAGTACTCACCTGGGCCAGGTTGGGGAGCAGGCTCGGCGGAGACGGGGGGTAGGAGAGGTGCAGCTGCAAGCAGCAGAAGCATCAGCAGCAAGAGGGGCAGCAGGTGCTGCTGTGGGGGGCAGGGGGAACCAGGGAGGGGGCGCCGCTCCCCCTGGACCCATTTCACCATCCTGCCCGCCTCCCCTCACATCTGAAACCATTAAAAAATAAAATAATTAGATCTGAGGGGAATTCTTATTGGCAGACATCAAACCACGAATAAAATAAAAATATTTCAAATAATCAAAACATCTGGCAACCCATGTCAGGGAAAAAAAAGATAAAAAATGTTGCCCAAAATTCAAGTAAAAAAAATTTTCTGCTATATAAAAAACCATATCAGAGACTCCCATCAGTCCTTCATATCGCACGCACCAAATTTTCTTTCTGATTCAATTAAGTAATTCAGTGTGAGTGAGGACGCCTCGCCAGACCTCCTACCCATGAACACCCGATCACCATCCACCACCACTGACGTGTACCAACTGTAACCATCACCACTATCACCACTTTACACTACAATCACCACTACCACCACCACCGTTGAGGTGAAGAGCTCTCAATCAAAACTACCATCACCACCTTCACCACTTCCGTTTAAGTGAATAGCTTTCAATCGCATCTTTTAATCACCACCACCAGTCTTCAAGAGAAAACTCGACAAGTATCTTCACCAGGTGCCAGATCAATCAGGCTGTGATGGGGCAGCGGGCCTCCAGCAGCAACAGCCTGGTTGACCAGGCAAGCACCAGACGAGCCTGGCCATAGAAGACTCTCGAAACTTATCAAAGCTATATCAAAAGTATAACCACTGATGAGTATAACTTACAATCACCACCACTACCGTTGATTATTCCACCCGCTGCATTACCCTCTCCCCTCAAGAAGATTTCTTGATGCTGGTGAGGAGCTTTAGATCTAGGGAACTGGATCTGTGCTCCAGTTCCCTGAATTAAGCCTAAATACCGTCCACATCCTCCCACAGGTGCTGTATAATTCTATGGGTTTAGCGCTTCCCCCTTGATTATAATAATTCCATTACCCTCTTCCCCAGACATGCATTACGGCCAATCAGAACTCCCAGTCCCTCTGCTGGGTATCAGGAACAATCAGAACTCCCAGTCCCTCTGCTGGGTATCAGGAGCAATCAGAACTCCCAGTCCTTCTGCTGGGTATCAGGAGCAATCAGAACTCCCAGTCCTTCTGCTGGGTATCAGTAACACTCAGAACTTCCAGTCCCTCTGCTGGGTATCAGGAGCAATCAGAACTCCGAGTCCCTCCAATGAACATGAATTATGGATTATGGCACATCATAACTTTCACTTCCTCCCTTCAGCAAACACATATCTGATGGTGAAGCCCTGACTGATGAACCTGCTGGAGATCAGGGAAAACCACAGAAGCTAGAGATGAGTGGGCGAGCTACACATTCCTGGTCGCAAGAAAGCCTTTAACACAGTCCATCACCAGACCGACGCGGGAATGGAAAGGCAAGCAAGAATGCTAGGAAGAAAGGATATAGAAGATAGTTTATCTACTTGTAGTCTACCCATAGTAGATTCCCGGTACTAGGTTGAGTGAGGATAATAAGTAGGGCACATCAAGGATTAGTACCTGGTAGGGTGAGGAGTAATCAATGGGGTTCCTGAAGGATGAGTACCAGATATAATCAGTGGGATACCTGAAGGATCAGTACCAGGCAAGGTGAGAGTAATCAGTGGGGTACCTGAAGGATCAGTACCAGGTAGGGTGAGAGTAATCAGTGGGGTATCTGAAGGATCAGTACCAGGTAGGGTGAGTAATCAGTGGGATACCTGAAGAATCAGTATCAGGTAGAGTGAGAGTAATCAGTGAGGTACTTGGCATAAAACATTAAAAAGCACACGAGGGAAATGGGAGACGAGTCAATGTGGATCCGGAGAAAGAGGGTGTAGTTTCAATTCCTTTCAACAAAAATGTGAAGGCACACAGCCAGACTAGTCCAGGGAATGAAGGAAAGGCACTAAGATTGGCTAAGGAAACTGAACCTAATGAACTTCGAAGAGGTAAGAAACAGGCGAAATTATCATAACTGTAACTGGTCCTGTATCTGCACACCTAAATTATGCGCTACTATAGCAAAGAGTGTAAATGCCTTCACTGAAAAAAAGCGTTCAATGAGTACACTAGGAGAAAATTAGAAAAGTGTAAAGGTACCAACACTCTTCAACACCTCTTTCATACATAAGGGGAATTATGAACATATGGCTTAGCTGCCTTCAAGTGGAAACTGGTTAAGTTCCTGAAGTCGTTTCTGATCAGTCTGGTTGTGACGCATACGTTGTTTGTGCTAGTCCGTGCGATTGGCGCAAACAACCTGGTCGATCAGGTTAGCAACCAGGATGGCTAATCTTGAACCAAGCAAACGGGAGCGGTGATCCCCGAAATAGTCTACAGGCAATGACGTAGGTACCTGAACGGAACCAGGAAAACGTTCAAATCTGCCTGGTGGTGTGAGAACGGGTTTCAAGTCGAGTATCAGCAATAACCATCACTCACATGAGTCAGGCAGCCAATCATAACTGAATTACACGTTTGGACCACCGAGTGAACAACTTTCATTCAGTAACCGGAAAAAAAGGTGACGTAATGTTGGTAGGGAACCTCCAAATCACTGTATTGACAACTGTTGTGCTGCTGTCTGCCTACCAACACTGCAGGCGAGAATGGAAGTAAACAGCAAACACATGAGGAAGGACAGGGTGAAGTGAAACAAAGAGGAAAAAAAAAAGGATTACTAAGGAATGATGAAGAATGGAGGAGAAAGTGTGAATGGGGGAGAAGAAATATGGGGAGAGAGAGAGAGAGAGAGAGAGAGAGAGAGAGAGAGAGAGAGAGAGAGAGAGAGAGAGAGAGAGAGAGAGAGAGAGAGAGAAATGCTGGCCAACAGATGGCTCCAATTTCATCCTGTTCCCTACTTATGTTTCATAACAATAAAATGTTTTCAAATGAAGTGATGTAGGTAACAGCTCTAAGCTTGTCAATAAAGCTAGGGATCCTTAACCTAACCTTGTCAAACCCTGTGTAAAAAAATAAGAGAGAGAGAAACAGAGAGAGACTAATATACACTAAATACAACGGTATCAAATATGTAAGACGTGGTGGAAATAAGGTATTGGAAAATAAATGAAGATGCAAGAGAGAAGGGGAGAATAACGAGACGAAGGAGGAAAGGAAGGAGGGGGGGAAGAGAGAGAGAAAAAAAGCAAGCATGGGATTACATGTGAGAGGCAACTAGCAAAAGACCTCACAGACCACACCGAGAGCCTAGTTATGGTCATCATCTGTTGCTTCATGGAAGTTAGGTAAGGAGAGTATAAGAGAAGCGTCTCTTCCCGCACTCCACTACCTCAGTCCATCCATCAAGATTGATGCACTGAACACATTGATTCCAGGCTGAGGGACTGATTTCCTCAAACTCCTCTTTTTCTACCGTTCTTCTTGGTACTGGACTGAAGAAGCCACTGACTGGCGAAACGTTTCCTCATAAAGATTCCCAAATGATGCACGAGTGTCTCATTCTTTGTGTTGTTCGTGCTCAGTGTGTTTCATACCGTAACAATCCAGGGCAGATCCTCATTACTCGCCAAGATAAGATCAAGAGTAATTTCTAATCTAGTTGATATCGCTATTTGCTGAATTAAGCCGAATTTCTCAGAGTAATAACAGTTTATTTTCATTCAGACTCCCTCCTGGGACCTTCTTTGCTATTATAGCCTTTGAAATATTGTTCCATTTTAGGTTTCTCGAACTGAAATCACAAGCAGCAGGATGTTTGGGACCGGATGAAAGAATTTTGAGGCAGTGTTCGATTTTCGATTACTGATCTTTAAACTGCTGGTAAGTTCCATCTGGTGGCTCACATACAAACTATTAGCCAAATTTATATTTGAAATTTTCACTGCCGAAACTTCGACTATTTTATTTGTGATGTTAAATAACTTCGTGCAGATTAACAATTTATCACAAAAACAAACTTCTCGCTGAAGTCATTTCTCGGTTGCATTTCACTTAGTGAGGAGAGGCAAAGTCTGGAGGGAAGGAGAGGGGAAGTGCTCAGGGAAGAGTGAGGTCGGACAAGATTGAAGACGAGGTAAAGGGACGGGAAATAAGTGTAGACAGAGTAACGCGAATAGGAGAAAGGAGGGTGTGGAGGGGAAGAGGAGAAAAAAAAACACGGTGTGGATGGGAATCGAACTCACGGCGAGTCGTAAAACTCCAGGGAAGAGCGCAAGAAACTGGGCCAGCCGGACCAGTGGCTTACGCACTAAGACACGCGTCAGGAAACACTGGACCTGTTTTCTGACAAACCTTACCTAACCTAACCCAGTGGCTTAAGCACTGGCCTGGAATTTTACGACTCACTTGCCGTGAGTTCGAACCCCACCCTTAACGTGGTTTCTTTGAAGTCGTCTTATTACGATTTCGTGAGTCATGATGGGAAAGAGGGAGTAAAATACAGCACCCTAAAATAGCACAGCATAATGACTGCTTAATTGCACCAATCAAAACACTCCATCTCGTGCACCCATTAACATGCCTAATCACCTATCACGTATCTACATAAAAATGATTAAATAACCTCTACGTCTAAATTACTCACTTACCACCATTACGCCAGGCTACCGTAAAACACCTTTAATTACCATCACATAGTATCTAATCACTTACATAAGTATCCTAGCTATTACACACATAATTGTATCATGCAAGCGCTCCAGTCACCACAATGTGACATAATGCACCAACACAAGTATAACCACCATCACATTATCAATCAGCACGTGATTACTCACACGAGACCTTCATTTATCATTTCACTGAATGTAATCACCCACCTCCAGCGCTGAGCCCAGAGTCCAGCACAACGCTGAGAAAAGGTACAATTATCATGGTTGATACAACTGGAAAAATAAACACAAATGCGGTATAATACGATGTTTTATTAACCATGTTTCGCTCACACAGTGAGCTTTATCAAGTTACAAACAGATCTTCCTGAATAAAGAGTACACGAGTATATATAGGAAGGAGAATCAGGTGGAGGATGTTGGGTAGGTTGTATTTGAGACGGTCCTGCCGGTCAGTCTCAAGGCGCTATAGTGCAGTCAT